AATCTGTACTTGAGTAAATGTACTGAGGTACATTCTACAACTTTTTAAGGCTCTTCTACTCAAAATGGACATTTTGGCGTTGACAATGGACTCAGGTGTGAACACACATTTTGAGTGTAGGGGTTTTGAGCAGCAGAACGGCCATTATCATTCCTCAGTCAATCAGTCAGTCAGCAGATGGGTCCACAACTGGATGCACACTCACACAAAAGTTGGAACCTTTAATGTTTCTTGCTCCCTTTACAGAGTTTCCACCTCAGGCGAGTTCTAGTTTAGCCCATATATCATCCCTACAAACAGCTACAGAAAATAAAGTCTTTGAGGAATGAACATCCCTGATTCCTCCCTTCTTTCGTCGCCATCCTCTGTCAGCCTCATGGTGACAGAAAATGTGAGCAGACGTGACACAAACAGCTGGAAGATGTCAGTTCTCTTAATGGCTTTTTGTCGTAAGCAGAGTCCAGAGCAAGTCGCAACAAGCCGTTTTGTTCCTTGTACATTAGTCACAACAGAGACCACTCTCATCACACATACAAAGACAAACACATGCATGCACGCACGCACGCACGCACGCACACACACACACACACACACACATACACTGACACACACACACCTGGTCTCCAGTTTCCAAAACAGGATTTTAACTGTCACAGAAAAGGAGATTCATTGACAATGGTCTTTGCTCTTCCTCCTAACCCAGTATTCAGAAAAAGAAAAAGGGGCCACAGGGTGCAGGAAGAAAAAAAATGTGCATTCACAGAGTCTGGAAATTATTCATCAGAGAAACAAAAGAGACAGCTTGAGATTGAGCTTCATGGTTACTTCCACACGATGCATTTAAATTGTTCGTCTCAGCATATCAGCACTTTAAAAGCCAGATAGTGAGATAAGATAGGACGTGTCTTGTGTTAACCCAAATGATTTCCTAAAGAAATAATCACTCCAGTGACAGCAAGAGATCAACAAAAGTCTCTGCAGGACTCTTACTCACTGCTGAGAAAGATTCTGGCCTGTTTGGACAAGATAGAGACCAATGATGACTTGCATTGTTTCATTATACTGCTGTGAGTGTAAAATCACTGCCATTAATGTTTACTATATGCATATCCCGTCTTTTTAAAACAGGTGTCAGTAACTTCTTATCTTGCACAAAGACGCATGAAGCAACAAGTAGATTATCTGTGATAGATTAATAAATCATGTGTGCATTGGGCAATCCCATGCGTCACTGTGCAAACCTCTCAATAAAAGCAGGTTTCTTTAAATGATTTTTAGTCATATTTACTATTCAGACGCACAAAATCACAAGTTAACGCACAACAGATGAGCTTTACAGCCTGAAAACAAACATATTTTCAGCCATATTGTGAGGACGAGGGTTAGAACAAGGGTAGACACTCACCAACAAAGACACAAAGAACATCCACCGCGATCATAATCAGCTTCTTTCCTTGCTCTGTCATGTTTCCTCCGATGTCGCTTCACTTTCATGAATAAATAACGTTTGAAAAAGCAGAGGGGTTGTAACCAAAGAAACACTCAGAGTTACTATGGAAAAGTTACTATCAGGATAAGTCGACCTGCTTGTTCTTCCGGCTCCACTCCTCAGTGTACCTGCCCGTCTGTCTGTATGTCTGTATGCCTGCCTGTCTGTCTGTCTGTACACTGCACTGATTTCAGGTGAGCAGCAACGTCGTAACGCTGCGTCCTGTGTGTCCTGCCTTTTTACGCATGAGGGGGGCGTCTTTCCGCATGTAAACAGCCCTCTAAAAGCGGGCTCACACAGGATTAGTTTTTTCCCGAAAACCTCCCTCTGGATTTATGGAAAATACGCATTCCTCTTTACTTTCCCTTTCTCTGTTTCGCCCTCTTGGATTTGGATAATAATCTAAACTGTGTGGTGGACCACGTGGTTCTCTTTGCGTAAAGGCACGGAAGAAGGAAAGTAGTTTAACAAACATCACTCGGGTGCAAGGCTGTCAGAAAGAGGCATGAGTGAAAAAACATGCACATTTACTCACTGCCACAAAAAAGTAAACGTTGCCATTAGTAAAAGATATTTTGTGGCAGTGAGTGAGTGTGCAGGTTTCACCGGTTTTTTTTTTTTTCAATAAAGGCAGGGCACAACCCATCTGACCTCATATAGCATGATAATATATCCACAGTAGCCTCAAACTGATTTATGTTCATATTATGGAAGACTATTTCTGCCAACAAAACATAAAAAAACAGAACAAGTTAGGAATAATAAAAGCGAGTTCAAGTCAAAGTCAAAAGTTTCTCAAATTGTGTTTTAAAGAATTACATTTTTGGCCATTTAATGATTCTGACTTTGTATCTCACAGTTATGCCTCAGAAGTCAAAATTTAGACATAAAAAGTCATTTAGGAGGATCTATTGAAATGTAATATAATATTCATTGGTATGTTTTCATTAGTGTATAATCACCTGTTACCTTAAAATGAGCTGTTTTTATCTACAGAGGGATACAGTCTGTAGGACATAGTCCTCTTCTACAAAGTCCGCCATGTTTTTACAGTAGCCCAGAACGGACAAACCACTGGCTCTAGATAAAGCCGTCTGTGTGTTTCTCTTACATCCTTGGAAGGCTGATCTGTATTCAAAGGGTTGTAATCTGCAGCTTCACTGCTGGATGCCAATAAACCCTACACACTGTTCCTTTAATATGTTTTGACTATGTCCAATTTAATCATTCATGACTTTATCTACAGTTCTTTTCTTATCTTGGCAGAAAATTGCTCATATGATACGGAAATAAACTTGTCCAAAGAGCCACATCGTTTATGAGTTAGGGAAATATTTAATCCAAAATCAACACAGTGACTAGCATTTGGATACTTTTTGTTCCCAAATGTGGAAATCAGACTCTTGTATCTGACAAGGCTTGATTTTTCAACCACAGTATGAAACTTCTTCTGTTAAGTCAACACATGTATATGTTGCAGAGAAATTGTGCCACTATTTTTTGTAATTTTTTTTTTTTTTCGTGTCTTGGCAGACTTCCATACTCACCCTATTTTTCACCAGAGTTTCATTTAGCTGCTTCCATTTCAGGGTCATGGTATTGTTCATGCTGGCTTACGGTCACACTGTAATGTCTTACTGGGACACTTGAATAAAGCGGCTGTTAATGTTATTAATATCTCTTTTCCTACTAGACAAGTCAAAATGTTTACTGTGAAAAAAGCCAACAAACAAACTGAATAAATGTTCCAGTCTAGAAGATATCAAAGTAATCTGCTTGACTAAAAACACAACGTGAACCACACAAGTTATGCAGGATGAATAAATTAAGACAAACTTTTTTTCATCACATAGCATTCTTGTTTTAATGTTGAGACAGTGGTTCATGCATTAACTGCACATTTTAACATCCTTAAACATAAAAAAAAATCACATTCTGAAGTAATCGCAAACACTGCTACAAACGTGGCTCATTATAAGGTCAGCAGCATTTTAGCTACAAACAAGGTCTGAATATGAGGTATGTGTGTTTTCAAAGTAACATGAGATGACTTACAGAACTCCTAAGAGCTGAGAACGTCTGAACTGCAAGTGTGTATCAGAGAAAAATATGTAATATGTTGAGATAAGACAGACTGCATCAACAATGAGAATCAGCTGCCACCAGGAGAAACGGACCAACAGGAATTTTCTGTTCTGTCTGTGAAAAATTCTGTTAACTGGCATGCAATCTGGTAAGTCTTTGTATGCTGTGTCACAATTGAAAACTTTTTATATTTTTTTCCCCTATACCCAGCAAATATTCATACACACAATATAAGCCCAGACAACCCAAAAAGTAAAGCTTTCATGAACAATCCTAAATTGCTTTTAGCTGTATTCAGCACATTCATAAATACATTGCACTGAATAAAGAAAAATAAAACAGGCATTCTCAAACGTCAGTGTATATGTACAGAAGACAGCAGTGTTTTGTACTATTTACATTCCTCAGTATTCAAGAAGGGCTCAAACATACTATACAGTAGCCTACGTGTACCAATTGAATGAAATATTATTATAAAAACCTTCGGTTCAAACATGGACAAAAAAAATCCAAAAACAATCACAAATAATACAATGTATTATAAAATAAAAAGTATTCAGCCTCTTGAAACATAGAGGATGTCAAGTAACAATTGGATGTTTTGGGAAAAATGCTTATTCGCTTTTTTGCTAAGAGTTAGCTGAGAAGACTGACACCACTCTGTTGTCTGTACAAAAGATATGAAGCTACAGCTGCTTTGCTTAGCATAACATAAAGGCTGGAAACAGGTGTAAACAGCTAGCCTGGCTCTGCCCAAAAGTAAGCCAATAAGTCCTGCTTAGAACCACAGATTGTTTTTACACAGATTACACAAGCATGTGCCCATAAGTGAGCTTTAGTGGTGCTGGTAGGCCATTTTTATTTACCTTTGGACTGAGCCAGGTTATTATTTTAACATATATCTGGATTCTGAGCATTAAAAATGTCAAGAAAAAAACAATCTCTTGATCAGACTGATTTAAAACAGATTTTAAATTTCCACAATGACAAAATACTGAAAGCTTTATGTGCATATTATTTAACACTGCAATAAAACTAATCAGAGTTTTATTTTCCCTGGCGTCAAACTAGGGGTTACACTCCACAGGACAGTAGGAAAAATCCACAAAAAGAGTTTGAGGAAAAGTTGAAAGCGACGTAGTTAAAGAGTCAGAGAGAGCATCGGTGCGAGGGTAGGCGTCGTGCTGGAGTGACGGGACCGAGTTACAGAGGTTTTGAGAAAAAGGATTTTGGGGCAAGACGACCTGAGCTGGGTGATAGGGGAAGACGGAGGAATGAGAGATGCTGTTGAAGTCGGAGAAGGAGGCAGGGTTTTGATGCTGCCTCAGTAACTGATGCAAGTTTTTCAGTTGATCTGTTTGGGAAAGAGGTGAATCAGACGTCGCGGCGCTCCTGCCCTGCAGGAACAGAGACGGCTCACGGCCTCCACCTGCCTGTTGCTTAACGCCATTAACGCTGACAGCGCTCTGCTGCCAGTCGATGGATTGGAGATGAGGTGCAGGGAGACTTTTTGGAGTCTGAGTGAAGAGGATGTTGGAGTAGATGGAGATGCTGGAGGAGAGATCAGTGTTGGAGGTCGTTTTGGCTCCGGTGGAGCTTTTGTTGCACCCGACCTCCAATTTTCTGGTATTTTGAGGGGTTTCACGTGAAACCGGGAGCGGAGAGCAGCAGGGAGTGGAATATGTTTGGAGTTTACGGAAGCTTTGATAGTTGATGTCCTTATCTGGGTCCTGTAGCTCGCTTTCGCTAAGCAAAATAACTTCAGAGTATTTGATTTCAGTCTTCTCTTCGGTTGCAGGCCGCCTCATACTCTGAAAAACAGAACGGTCAACTTGTTACTTTTAGTTTGAGGGTATTTTAAGTAACATATAGTTTTACACTTTCTCACTTTAAACCACAACATTGACATATCTCGTTATATTCCCGGCCACCTGTCGAGTCTTTTAGCGCTGTTTTCTGTCTCTACCAACTCCAGAGGGAAATCTGTGGCTCATAGCAGCTAAATTCTTCACTATTGTCACCTGCAAACTGAGGCTGTTTGGTGCTGAGCAGGTAGTGTACAGTGGGGGTTTCATCTGTTTCACTGAACAGCTGCTTGCTGCCACTGAAAACAATGCAATGAGAGCAGCTTGTTTCAGCTTTTTATTGAAGCTATACGTTGTTTACTCTGTGTTAAATATTTAAACCAAAGACTTTTTTTTCATGGCAGCACCCATCCATCACGTGGAAATATACTGTAATTCACATTTCCCCCAAATTCAGCCTTACATATTTTGTACCTTTGCAAACGTAAACAGTTAAAATAAAGTCCTGTGAGCAGTTGTAGCAACCAGCTATTGTTAAAGCAGCTTAACTTACTTTGTTACATTCACCATGGACATTTGGACTCAACATGCTGTTTACCAGTTTCAGTTTCCTTGTTACTAGCTTTAAAGGACCAGTGAGTGGGATTTAGTGGCATCCGGCGGTGAAGTTTCAGATTGCAATTAACTAAACACTGCTGGCATCTGTGTTTGAAATCCTGGGATTGAGAACATGCTGTGAAGTGTGTAGGAGAAACTACGGTGGCCGTAACCCCCCCCCCAAAAAAAGGCCCTAACTGCAGCCAGTGTTTGGTTTGTCCTTCCAGGCTCCGGTTGCAACATGGCGCTTCAACACGGCATTTTGTTTTTTTAGATAGTGACAGTACAGAGTGAGAGAGAAAAGGCATGACATGCAGCAAAGGGAGCAGGCCCAATTAGAGCTCGGGCGTTGCACTACAGACACACTCCACCAGGTGAGCTGCTGGAGTGCCCATGAGCACTCTTTCTGAATTTGTTATGTTTTATCCAATAAAGTTTTTACATTTTTTTCATTTACTTTCAGTAAAAACTCAGATTGGTGGATTAGCACAATGTTTTAGAAAGGTTTGTGATAACTAACCAACTGGTCTGTCTGTGAGGCCCTTTGCTGCCATCTAGTGGTTTAATTTTGTTTTTGCGGTTGTCAAAAGTTTGAAAGAATTCAACTGTTTTGCTTTGTTGATGTTTTTTTTTACTCAGTCAGGTACAAGCAAGGAACCAAGGATGCAAAAGACCAAACACTAAGAACTTTAGATTCAACCAGACAGAGCGGCTTATTGCTGCTGTTTAGGAGATGATTTCTTTTATCATTACGTCCTGTGGCACAAACAGACCAAATTTAAGTTTTTAGTTGCAACACATTTTAAATGAGACTGGTAAAACAAGTGTAATCTAACAAAAATGGCCTAGTGAAGTTGTCCTTGTGGCCTACTGATTAAGATGCATACCAACTTTGTCGTATGTCATAGGCTTTTTTCTCTTTCTCTACCCACATTTACTGTCTCGATATTCACTGTTTCTATCTAAAACAGGCTAAATTCCACATAAACATCATATTTAAAATTGTGCTGCAAACTGTAATTTGTCTCTCAGTATATGGTTAGTGTTAAATGATGGATTTAGTAGACAGTTGACAGGAGAGGGCACAGGGATTAAAGGTTACCTCCAAAGCAATTTTTTGCTTCCAGAGGGCTAAACTGCTTTTGGAGGGATCCGGGACGTCTTGACACAGCTTCTGTTTCACCCTGCAAGGGTAAAAAAGTATTTTGTGCAAAGTAGGTAAAACAGTAAAAGTAGGACGCTGAGCTTGGAGTAGGTGTGTTTCTGTGTTTGGTGTTGATGAGTGAGACAGAGGTCTTACATCTTATTCTGTGTCAGGCAGACCATCAACACCAGCGCCAGTGAAGTCAGCAAGAGAGGTAGGAGGACACACATCACTATCGAGATTTCCTCAGAGGCTTCACACAAACACACACACAAAGTTAAGTTAAAGATAAAGCAATACATTGTTTTTACTCTGAGGCACAGTGATTATGTGTGTGTCCACTCCTCACATATGTACACATGACAGATCCAAGCTGGTCCGGCTCCAGCATCAGTGTTGGCCTGAACTGAGATGTTATAGTGACCAGGCGACAGATTCTCCAGAGAATAACTGTGAAGGTCACCACGCAGAGGCACTCCTGGATAAAAAAATAAAAAAAAACATGGTCAGGTACAACATGGACAAAATGTGATGAGGTAATAAAGATAAAATTAGAAAAATTATTAATTAATAGGATTTTACTGGTCCTTACACCCAAGTGTGGTCAAATGTTTTAAAACATTTTCTAAATTATTTTTAACTGATTTCTGTTTCTGTGATTGTTTTCTGTGACAACTTTTTGTTTTGTAAGTATGTGTTAATAGGCCCCTGCCCCCACTCCCTCACCTTCCATAAGCCATAAAATGACCTTGAGACCCATATAGCTTATTGTCCATATATCAAATAGACTAGAGTCTACAGCCATGCTAGCATTTAGCTCTGTGAAGCTGTACTTAGGCACTTCTTTGAGCTAAATGCTAATGTCAGCATGCTAAAAATGTTTGCAGGTATAATGTTTACCATGTTCACTAACTTAGTTTAGCGTGTTTGCCAATTAGCACCAAGCACAAAGTATAGCTGAAGCTGATGGGAATGTCATTTGTATGGAAGGTATTTGATCACAAAACCGAAGACAAATTACATTTTCTATCAGATCAGATGATGGCGGTCATTAGGATAGTTGTTGAGACATTTAACTAAAAATCACAAATGTAAACTTTTTGGTGACACAAGAGAAAAAGTTAGTCGTTTAGATATATGGAGTCTATATAAGTGGTGGACGGACTGACTGAATTTTGGCAACAAATGCAACCCTCATCCTCCTAAAAGACATTTTCAACAGGGCTTTTACATCTGTTCACAAGTGTGGACTCAAACAGGTGCAGGAGTGCATCATCTGTGTGTATCACTCACTCTTGGCTGTTTGGTTGGCTTTTGAGTAGGAGACTATGTAGTTGCGGATGAAACCATGAAGCAGCTCCTCAGGTACAGGACTCCAGACGAGCTTCACTGTGCTGCCAATGATCTTCGGCGTCTCCACTGCAGGATAAGCTGAGGGCACTACACGGGCAGGGAGATAAGAGCAGGGGTGGGTGATGAGGATCGACCACAGGACTATGTTGTGAGAACGAGGGTGGATCTCTATCTCTGTTTCACAACAACCGATATGATTAAGTTTGCTTTAGCCACCTGAGCGGATCCTGTCTGGTCTGATAAATGTAGACTGATTATCAACTATTTGTAGTCAGTCACATTCAAATTTGGCAGATGTTCAGTCTTAGTATTCTTGTCCAAGATGACTGTGTAGACAGATATTTGTCTGTAATGGAATTACCTCATGATCACCTCATAACCATAAGGTACAACATGAAGTCATCAGCTTTTATATATCGGACTAACAAGCTCCAGTCAATTGTTCCATTTGAAATCGACTTCCTTTTATCGAGCAAGTGTAAAGAGCCTCTAATGGTGCACTTTATACAGGCCACTGCAGGGGAGACAAGAACATTTTCCTACAGTTCAAGAGAAGCAAGAAGAAGAAGAAGAACAACAGATAAAACAGTCTCACTCACTGATACTGAAGAGGGATTTTACTTCCTTACAACCATTAATCTCCTACTTTTCTCGCTAGTTTTACAGCTTGGCAAGAGACAATACATAATATAGAGATCACATACCTCCTTGGCATGTATAATTGTGGACCGTCATGTTTGGCCCCGCCCCTTGTTCACCATACAGAGCCTTGACCGAAACAACATAACGCTTCATTGGCTTTACTCCCTCTAAAACAACACAAATATGACAGTACTCATCAGTTCCCAAATACATACAACTGGTAATTGTACTACTGTTCCACAACTTCATAATTTCAGCTCTAAATAGGCAAAAGAAAATTTTTTCACATTAAGCTTTTTCACATTAAGCTGTTTACGTACGTATTGTTGGATTACCTGTGATGACCAGCGATGTACAGGAACTATTCAGCCTTTCCCAGTGTAGGATGCTGCTGTTCTGTCCGACAGCAAACCACTCCACTACAAAGCCGCTCGGTGACTGATTCGCTGGAGCTGTCCAACGAACATCCAAGCTGTTGTCATCCAGCGGACTTGCAGTGATTTGCTCCGGGGGCGGAAGCTCTGAAGAGAAATAAGGGATAAGATGAACAAAGAGAAAGACATTTGTCGGCATCTATTAAGTTCAAAGCATCAAATTTGATTTGAGTGTTTCTGTTGTTTGAAACAGTCCACCATAATGTCATAATGAACCGAAGGCGAAACTCTGCAGCGCAAACTATTGTGCTAACTATTATACTTTCAGGGACTCGGTTGATCAGCAGCTCTATTGTGTGGTTTTTCTTCCAGTTTCATTTAGTTGAAAAATAATCTGAAACTGTCCCTGCCAACCCTCGTCATTGTTTACTGTAAACTGCAGAGAGCAATGTCTTCCGTGTACCAAAGGAAACAGGAAAAAACCTCTGGCACAGAGGAATATACTGTTGTACACAAAGGAAGTGACAGGTAGGTGGGTAAAGAACAAAAGAGAACTTGATAGAACCTGCCTCCTCGCACCTGTGCAATCACGGTATAGGGTGGGCATGATTGCTGGATTGTTTTATGTTTTGGAAAGTTACAAAAGCTATCACGGGATGCTCTTTATTCTGACATCAGAAAGGCAAAAGGGGAATGGTTTCAGAGGCTGTAAGATCAGATCATCAAGCACTTTATTTAAAGCACGCAGATGCCTCACAGCGCTCTCTACTTTTATATCAACACCAAATAAAGGAATATCTTTTAGGATAGGAGAATCCATGCAGAGGAGAAACTGTACTAGTGACTTGTGGTGGAACAACACGTCACCAAGACAGTTAATCAAAACCTGTTAAACTGATTAAAAAATAACTGTTAAAGTACAGAATTTCAGTCTCAAGTGATGATGATGCAGATTTAAGTCAGACCTTACCTGTCTCAGAAGCTCCAGGGAGCCATATTCGGGCTTCTGGCGAGGTCCCTGCAGAGGTGGAGGCCGTCAGGGCACAGGAGCATCGTCCAGCAGGGAGGCGCAAGCTGCAGGAAGTACTTGTATGGGGCAAATCTCTGCAGCTCCCATGATCGTTCAGGATCTGAGCGCTTTCTGTCTGACAAGTCACATTGAAGAAGAGAACTCTGCCACTGGCTAGAAAGCGAGGCAAGGGCTGAATGGTGTCAACATGAGAGAAAACAGAAAGCAATAAGTAACAGTGAGCTGCTGTGAGATGATTGAGGTTTAAATCAGAATTCATATAAACAAAGATTGTATGAAATTGAATTAATTCTCTTTTTCCAGCTATCTCAGTTTCGCTTTTAACCTGAAATCATGCTTTATGGCAATAAATAAGTAATTTCACAATGATACAAAAACACATTAAGGACAGTCAGTGAGAAGATGGTGATTAAAAACTAATCAGATCCAAATGTTATTAAACTGTAAAATTCCAAAGCTCAAAGCTATAAAAGCAGTCAGAATATATTATACAAGCAAATTCACATACAATTCAGCACACACCTTCCAGAGCAGTGAGACGAGTCTCCAATCATTCTTGTCTGTTTGTTTCACTCGCCTCCAGAAAGCTGGCGCTGCAGATGGTGCTGGTTGATGTGAGGAGGGGAACACATTAAAAATAATGAACAGAAATGACAGCAGAACATGTTATATACAGTAACAGGGGTGGGATGCGTACTTTTTATTGGACTTTATCAGTGAAACTAAGAAAAACCTTCACATATCCATTCTACACCAGTCGGAAATGAAAGTGAAAGAATAATGTGGAAATGTGGAATGTTGTTGGGTGTCATTGGGTGGCACTCTTCAATGTCTCATGGAGGTCAGAGTCAACCACTTGGGTCCAGAGTGAAATATCTAAAGAACTATTAGATTTTGTGGACATTTACGGTGCCCAGAGGAGACAGTTGAGGTGGTTCGTACATCTGATCAGGACATCTACTGGAAGCCTCCTTTTGGAGGTTTTCCAGGCGTGTCCAACTGGGAGGAGACCCTAACCCTGGGACAATCCAGAACATGCTGAAGGGATTATACTGTTTATCCCATCTGTCCTGGGACTGCCTCTGGCCTTCAGGAGGAGGATGAAGTTTGGCAGAAAGATATCTTGCCTACCTTTTTTTTTAACTTGCTACTACTGGACTCAGATAAGTGGTTGTGAGAACAGGGCCGGATCTCTATATCTGTTTCACAACAACTGATATGATTAAGTTGTGTTTGCTTCAACCAGCTGAACGGAGAATGTCTTGGCTTACAATTAAACGAAACTGATGTTGTTTTTTAAACTGGGATCACTGCCTTTTTCAATACACCAGCAAAGGCATAAATCAACAAAATTAAAATGAAGCAGCTGGAACTGATTTGCAAACACATTTGATATCTGGCAGACGTTCTTCTTATCCAGTCTTAGAATCCATGACTGAGACAACTATAAACAAATAGATATCTTGCCTACTTTTCTTAACTCGCTACTACTGGACTCAGTTAAGTGGCAGAAAATGGATGGAAGGGGAAAGATTACTTATAATTACATTCATAATGGCCATAGTTCTGCAGATGTGTTTATGTATCTTTTGGTAGAAGCACAATTCTTACCTAGACTTACACTACATCACCTTGAGAACACTGAATGTTCAACAAACACCAGTTTGACAACTCTGTTTCCTCTTACCATCCTCTCCTGTCCTTCCTTGGCGGGCATTGCTCCACGGGCTCCAAGGACTCTGTGGGCCCTTGAAGCTGTGACGAAGCCTGATGGTGTATAAGGTGTCAGGCCTGAAAAGACACACCAGGAAGCTGGTGTTTTTCACTGTCGCATTTTCAACCTGGACATTCAACTGTACAGGAAAGAGAGACAGGACAGAGTGAGGTGAGGATTAAATTGTGAAGAAACCACACGTTTGTCTTTATTCTTTAAAGATGCCAGATGTAGCATTTTAGTATTAATTAACTGGGGATGGCTGTAAAATGCATCATTGTTTAATATATAAGAAACTTAGATGGCAGTCATTGGCAGTGACAAGAGAACAGCACTATATACGTTTTAACTACGGATCAGTTTCACACTGCACTAGGTCTGAATTATTTGGTCCTCAAAAATCATCATGTTAATACTGAGATTGGGAAACTGGCTCTTAAATACGATGCACCACACAGGTGAAACAACCTGCAGAAGCTTGTAAAGTTAGACAAGCTTATCCCATTTATTTCTTTGATCAAGGTCTTTTTTAAAATTGTGTACAGCCAGACATCAATACAAAAATATATCTATATAAATGTGTTAAGTTAATCCCTTTTAATCAACTTTAATCCTTTGTGACTGATATAAACCATGTTTTGTTTATTCAGTGTTAATGTATCATGTGTTTTCTTCTGTCTCCATCTGTAACTGTAACTTGTGTAATCAGGGGGCCCTTGTAACAGAGAACTTTCTCTCAATGGCCCTCATTGTTTAAATAAAGGTTATAATATTAAACCCGGGAACGAAAGCCTGACAGCTTTTTTCATTGTGTAATGCTTTTGTGAGACATCTGTTTGATCTCTGAATGCAAATTTTACACTTGTGCCACATGTGCATCTTTATGTGGGTTTGTGTTTGGGTATATTTGGGAGTGGCAAACCTTCCCCTCGGCGGTGAACTCAATTTGGGATTTCAGGTTTCCATCGTAGATTTCCCGGAGACTTACAGGAAAGACACTCGTGATGTGCACCCAGGTTACATTCAGACATTGAGGTCTCCCTCTGACTGGCTTCACGCTATTCAAAGGCACCGGATTCAACATCACTGAGAAAAATAGGGGGGAGAGAAGTTAGAAAGAAGTAAGAGAGGAACAACAAAAGGTGCAAGTAGGAGAAGCAACAACAACACCCTCACCTTCAATCCTACCAGACTGACACGGACGATCCGACGATATGTCCCGGCTGTGACTGTGTGCTGTGACGGTGATGCAGAAGTCAACCCTCACGGTGTAGTTGGTGATCGCCGTGCAGCTGGTGTCAGTTGTGGTGCAAGTGAACTGCCTGTTGTTATTTAGAGTCCTATTCTTGCCCATGGCACAACAATCAACAAGCATACATAACAAATCAACAAACAGGCACAAAATTACAAGCCCAAATAGATTAATGCTCTGTCATGGAAATAGATACACACTCACCCACACACACACACAGGCATATCACAAAACTGCTCAAACATGCTGTGCAGAAATGTCTATCTCATCTCCATTTGAAATGAAATTAGGTCAAAAAAGGCCGCTTTTATTAACCAATCAACAGATCGTGAGGTGGAAGCTGCATGACTGTTATCGTCGCAGTGTATCAAACCTGCCATCTGAGGCTCACACGAATACGAAATTCAAAACTCAAGCATTTGCATACAGCGTATAGAATTATTAGCAAACAATAATGCTCGCACAAAGTTGCAAACAGATCCATATGCAAAAACACAACAGGGACTTGGGTAATACAATTTGACTGGATAATTTGTAATCATAAATCATGTAGTCGTCGTAAACACTGACATTGCAGATAGCAAAAACAAATGTTGGGTTAAAAAGCAGCATGTTGGAATCAAAAGATGTCAACCTTACTGCATAATCTTCATATCACATATCAGATATCAAAGCTACATCTAACACGACATTAGACACTCTATTTCCTGCTTACCAGGTGCTCTATCGAGAGTCTGAACCTCACATAACAGGCTGACTGCAGACATGTAAAGTGAAAGCTTTTTTCTTTTTTTTTACTGTGATAAAAAGACTAAATTAAAACAGTTTCTCACTCCCTCTCTCGTAACTGTCCCAACTTATTACTAATAATAACTGATTTAGCACTCCTTACACAAACTTCAACAAAATGATTGGTCGCGGAAATATTAAACAAATTAGGGAACATCTTAAGGGACAGAACAAAAATTAAGTGTGTTGCTGACAAATTTGCATTTTCACAGTAATAGACAACAAGTATTGTCTATGTAGCCAAAACCTAATATATCTTTTTCCTCTGTGTTATAGAGCTCCATTATTGTTGTAAGTTTATTCAAAACACATCAATGAGCCACACAGTCGCATGAACAAACATGGGCGTCGTAGTATTTAATGTCAATCCCACACAGCCTGTCCTGCTTCCGTTAACATTTTTAATGAATAATTTTTTTGTCATTTATTTTTAAAATGTTTAATTACAGAACAACACTAGTCTTATTGTTTAAAGTGAAAACTTGAATAAACAGAGAAAACAAGGGCTCAGTGAATGTGCGATGAGTATGAAAATGATGTACGTCATTAACTCTGCTGAACTCCTACTGGAGATTTTAGGTTTTTGTCAGGGTCTCCACCACCATCAATAAAACACTTTCGTATCTTTTGGATATAAGATGCACTTATGGAGCCATGGTGCCCAAAAAAGACACTTTTTAATGTGTCCTTTAATTTGTCACCCATCTGCAAATCTATCAACACACTGAACAGCCTTCAAGTTGGAGAATAAACTCTTGAATTACTAAATCAAAGTCAAACATTAACTACACAAATAAAAATATACCTTTTCACACCTGAACACCCAAATGATAAAAAAATACATATATAAAGTGCAAAACCTGGATGAACAGAAGCTGAACCACCTACATGTCGTGTGTGTCTGAGTGTAACTTCTAACATATTAAAGGAATGTTTTGTCTCACCTCACAACCAGAGTGTAGTGTGTCGCTGGGGTGTCACCAGCCTCCCAGCGGCAGGTGACATTAGCGCTTTGCTGGAACACACAATCAATTAGCCGCGGAGGTCGGGGGCCAGTCTTGGAGGTTGTAGTGGAGAAGGCTGGAGGACAGAATGAAAATGGAGAGAAGCTGAAGTTAAAGTTAATGTTATAAGGAGTTCGGTCTAGACCTGCTCTATTTAAAAAAATTAAACTAATGTAACTTCTGTTATGAAGAGGCATTATACAAATAAAATTTAATTGAATTGAAAATTAAAGGCATGGAGTTTTTGGCTTGCTTTTATAGATACCTTCTGGCTAAAGAAAAAAGCAGGTGGTTAAAGATGGATTTTGGATTGGATATTTTTTAAAAACCATTATAGATGCAATATTTGTGTAGAGCAACAGGTGGGATTTAAGAAAAGGAAAAAAAAGAGGAAGGTGGAACAGATAAGCAAGTAAATCTGATCTATGTGCCGCAGGTCAGTACTTAGTCAATCTTTCTTGGCACACTCATTAAAATATATCATAGAAGAAACCAATCTTATCATGTAGAAGAATTTAATTTTAATTATTATTTTTGTGAAATATTTCTGAATGTCAGCTGCTGTTTGCCCTAAGGTTTAAACATAACCTCAGACAAGACGATACAAGATGCTCGCCTCGGTCTTGGCGTGCTTGCTCAGCTTGCCGCTGGGTATATGTGGAGATAACAGACATGATCACACCAGTTCTTACCTGTAGCTTGAGTTCTAACAGTTAAATATTATAATAAAATGGCACCCTTTTCAGTTGGAGGGAGTTTTATTTTCAGGAACTTTTGTCCTTTACTATGTGAAATATAATATTTTCAGTTTAATTAACTTTAACTGCGTCACAGTCCTGCTGGTTAAATGTTTCATTTGTTGCTGGTAGTCAGTCTTTGCTATTATTTGCCTTTCTGTCTTCTTCATATTAATGAGCCCGAGATAATTCTAGTTTTATTTTCGCTTTTAAAACCACAATAAGCTGAACATCACACAACATTTGGCAAATGTGGCCTTCGTGTTAGCAAAGGTGAAGTTAGCAGGTTCTGTCCGTCAAATCCAATTTGGGGTGGCTGTAACGATCCCTGAGTCACATGCTGCACGTCGAAGTTTTCTTGACCCAGATACAGAACCCAAAAACTGCTTGTGAATGAGTTAGTTTCTGTTTGTGATGCGTCATCCATCACTGTATGAATGTGTGCGACTGGGTGAACGTGCTTTGAGTGGTCGGAATACTACAAAGGCGTTATAGGCCTATAGGTAGAGCACCATTTAATTTCCTCCTGCTTGGTGATGTGATCTAATTTACATAATAAATCATCATCCCTTTCCAATAATTATTTGTATGCTCCAACCACAAACAGACAAACTCACACAAATATCTGCTAATGTCACCGCGCTGGTGTGCTCTGGAAAAAAAAGGGGATGTTACCCAGTGTGAGTCCGGCCACCAGCAGGTAGGTCCACACCACAGCCAAGCTCCACTCCATGAACACCAACCGGTTTCTCAGCTCTGGGATCCTGCCAAAACAGAACACCATACTATGACAGTGTGCAGGATGAATGGCTCACTTTAGTGGTTAGATTTCATCAGCCTTCAAAACCCCACAGCATTGTCACCCGCTTGGCATTGCAACATAGTAAATGGTCCGACAAACATGAAATGCAGCAGTTGCCCACCTGGACACAGTTCGAGTTCCTAAAGTTTGTTTGTAGTGTGTGTTAGACAGCAGAAAGAACCCTGTATCATATTATTGGACTATTATTGCTGATCAATTGATATGTTTGCAGTGTTTAGTGGTGGAGGTGATGTTTAACTCTCTATATCATATATCATATAAGCACTGTGTATGCTTTGTAATTAAAATGCTGATTTTCAAAAAAAAACTAAAGCCATAAAACCAATGTGGTAAAGTAAAACGTACAAAACAAGTGCAAGCATAAAGCAGCATAAAAAGGAAATACTCAATACTTTCAGAACTGGTACTTAGGACTGTACAGCTGCATAGCCCCAGGTCATTTTGTTGGGGGCTTAGACCCCCAGAGCTTTGACCCGTAACCAAAATCTAATTGTTAAAACGTAAGCCCTATATGTGAAGCTCGACAAAAGAATGTGTAAGCTGGGTGGGAGAATGTGCGTGGGAGCCTGAGTGACTCAGTCTGATGAGATGGCAGAGCAGATAAAACACAGAATATGAATATTAATAAGGTGCCAGAGTGCATTAAAAAAAGCCTTTAAAATAGAAATTGTTTCTTAAAAATAATTCATGGGTGAGGATCCCCCCCCTGCAGACGCCCTGAATCTTCTCAAATCCAACCGCCCTTGTAAAAGTGCCCTCCTGGTTGGCAAAA